CCTCCCCAAATCCATACCCAAATCCAAATGTGTTTCAGGAGTACAATGCGTCAATTGAGTCCAACTAGGCTCCCTTCATGGTGGAGTCTGATTCAATAGTCTTACAAGAACATATATATATATATATATATATATATTTTAGGATGAAATGTGAATCACATTTATCCAAAAGACTAGAAGTACATCATGAGCAGCTTATAAGAGTGCTGCTACTAAAGAAAAACAAATTACGAACTGAGAGTACCCTACTAACTTCTAGTTCTTCACAATGGCTTCAAGATCCCATTTCAGATTACAGAAAAAAAGAAAGAACTTGGATATGATTTCTTTCATTCCTGTACACTGAACCAACCTTAGGAAACGAAAAATTCTCTCTTTGTAATCCAAAATTCTATTTGCATGAAAACTCAGGAACCCAGACACAATTTCTTGTATTCTGCTACAATTGATCATCAGAACACAAAGAATCATCAATCGATTACCAAAAAAACAACACCTAAAGAGAAAGACTAACCTGGAGAGAGTCTGCACTTATGATTTCACCATTAAGACGCTTGGCAAGCTTCAAAGCAAGCCTGCTCTTACCAGCCCCTGTAGGCCCAGATATCACTATCACCTTGTCTTTCTTCTCTTTGTTGTTGCTGGTAGTTGAGACCATTCTTGTGGCTGTAGCAAAGGGTTGCCTCCGGTGAGAGAGCGATAGGAGGAGCCGCCTCTGTCCGAAGTGAAACCCACTTAGAATCATCTCTTACAGGAAGAATGGAATGCAATTGTTTATGTTTCTGAGAGCGAAGAGAAGAGAAGAGGATAAGGTTTTGTGAGGGTTTAAGGTACCGTGTGTCATGAGACCATCCCCGTCCTCTCCACGTTGATTCGTCTTGTTGCGAAACGCAGGAAGGAAAAATGCGAAACAACCATGAATGCGGATGAAGTTAACAATTTTATTAAAGTTTGAGGGTGAACCTCAACATTTTATCACTTTTTATTTAAAAATTTATCAAATTTTTTGTGGGAAGTATATTTAATGAAAAAGTAAACTATTGTATAATTTAAATTATATTAAACTGTATCATTAAATAAATGATGAGTTTTTGATATTAAAGAGTATTCTTTATCCAATGGCAGATAGTTTCAATATGTATTTGAACATAAAACAACATGGTTAATTCGAGATGATGTTTATATACTCTTAATTTATCTTTTATTTGATTAAATTAATGAATAATCCTTTATTTTAAAAATAAATTATTTTTAATCTACTGATTTTTTTATTAATTTAAAGCTTAATTTCTCAACTAACTTTGTTAAGTTAG